CAAACATGCTTTATAAATATAATGGCATAATAAAATAGGACAAATGATGACCATATATTTACCCAATGTCCAAATTCATATAATAATTCTAGGACGTTAATGTTAAATGTTTCTAGGACATAGCGTTTAATGTTGCATTGCCCTTTGTGTAGTAATGCAATTGTTTTAGACCAAAATAGTTAACCAAGGTCAGTTGTTATATTGAAGTGCTCAGTTTTGCATGAAAGAATGCTTAAAGATGCATTTAATGATTTATCCTGGTAGAGAAATTTAAAACCCTTTGTATTCTATGTTCTTGCTTGTGATATGCCTATTATATATAGGGGCTGTGTTTCTTTACATTATTAAGACGAAAAACTTATAAACCTTAGGCAGGCTGTATTTTAAAAAAGATATTAAAATCAAATTTATTATGCCACAGTTAAAGATTTGGTTTATACAAAATTATTTTTAATTCCATTGTGTAGGAAACTATAAGCAATGAGAGTAAAGTTTCATGGGCAAGGAAACAACGACTTGCCCCTTATGGGGTTTAAACCCATGCAGCTAGCAATTAGATTACTAGTCTGATGCGTAAAACACTCAACCATGCCACCACCGAAAGTTAAATATTTGAACAAAAATTTTGAATGGAATATCAAAGTTCTGATTGTTTAAGAGACATACCTCGGTAGTCTTATCCTATTCTGTTTATCCTTGGCCATTTCTGATTTAAAAGTGGAACAAACTTTTGAAATGGATGTGGTTGTTTAAGGGTCCAGTGACAGTGCGTATAGAGACCATGCCTGTTGATAGAACTGAAGCTCGATCTAACAGATTTACTGAACAAGAAGCTTTCTGGAATGTCCCTTTACATGAAACAAACATTATCTGTGATATAGCTGTAACGAAAGGTAAAATTTACATGAAACAAACAAAAGTTAATAGCTTACATTTAGTGTTTATAAGTACATTAAATAAGATATGTTATATGTGAGTTATAGAATGTCATTATGTATTTTAAATGCTTTAAAAGTAATATTGAATGACATGTGCAATTTTTCTTTGTATGATAGTGATACATAATATACTTACTGCATAAAAATAAAAAACTATTAAGATAAACTTGTACATACCGTAAAATCTTGATTTAATTCCCCCGGGGGTGTAACATTTTTCCAAAGGGGGTGGGGGCGTTTAATAAAGATAAAAAAAATTAAAAATGATACACCAGATCAACAAGGAAAGGCGTAGTGAAAATGATTGTCTTTTCTCTCTCTTCAAATGATGTAAAAAAATCCATGGAAGTCCGTTTTAAGCACATCATTATGACACCATTGATTTACACTGCGTGTCACGAATTTTTCTCCCAAAATTTCCTCGTAATTGACACCTTTGATCTCGCTGACAATCTGACCTCATCGATGCTACTTGCCTTATTTACGATGTGTTTTGTGCAATTTTAACAGTTACTCTTTTCTTGTGCACTAGACTTTTAAAATTTGATCAACAGATGTTTTTCATAAATGTAATGATATTGGATATAAATTGCCATACTGGTCAGCGATTTTCTTTATTTTCTTAGTTTAAATTATACATGAATTTTTCAAAAGTGGGTAGGAGGTGTTAATTAGGTTGGGGGCGTTTAATGGGGATTTTATGGGTGATAGTATGTCTGATTGATATGATTAGTGTCTATCAAATTTTTACTATTTCTGGAGATATCTTCATGGGAATATGTTCAATTTTTAGCTCACCTGTCACAAAGTGACAGGGTGAGCTTTTGTGATCGCTTTTCGTCCGGCGTCCGTCCGTCGTCCGTCCATCGTCCGTCCGTCCGTAAACTTTTACTTTAAATGACATCTCCTCATAAACCACTAAGCCAATTTCATCCAAACTTCACAGGAATGTTCCTTTGGTGGTCACCTTTAAAAATTGTTCAAAGAATTTAAATCCATGCAGAACTCTGGTTGCCATGGCAACCGAAAGAAAAAACTTTAAATATCTTCTCTTAAAAAACCATAAGAGCAAGAGCTTAGATATTTGGCATGAAACATCTTCTAGTGAGTGTCTACCAAGTTTGTTCAAATAAAAGCCCTGGGGTCAAAATTGGCCCCGCCCCGGGGGGTCATTGATTTTCCCTATATGCATATAGTAAAAACTTAAAAAATCTTCTTTTAAAGAACCCAAAGAGCTAGAGCTAAGATATTTAACATGAAACATGTTCTAATGGGTGTCTACCAAGTTTGTTCAAATAAAAGCCCTGGGGTCAAAATTGGCCCCGGGGGTCATTGATTTTCCTTATATGTGTATAGCAAAAACTTAAAAAATCTTCTTTTAAAGAACCAAAAGAGCTAGAACTAAGATATTTGGCATGAAACATCTTCTAGTAAGTGTCTACCAAGTTTGTTCAAATAAAAGCCCTTGGGTCAAAATTGGCCCCGCCCCGGGGGGTCATTGATTTTCCCTATATGCATATAGTAAAAACTTAAAAAATCTTCTTTGAAAAAACCCAAATAGCTAGAGTTAAGATATTAAGCATGAAACATCTTTTAGTGAGTGTCTACAAAGTTTGTTCAAATAAATGACCTGGGGTCAAAATTGGCCCCGCCCCGAGGGTCATTGATTTTCTTTATATGTGTATGGCAAAAACTTAAAATCGTCTTTGAAAAAACCCAAATAGCTAGAGTTTAGATATTAAGCATGAAACATCTTCTAGTAAGTGTCTACAAAGTTTGTTCAAATAAAAGCCCTGGGGTCAAAACTGTCCCGGCCCCAGGGGTGTCATTGTTTTTAACTATATGTGTATAGTAAGAACTTAAAAAAAATCTTCTTTTAAAAAGCCCAATGAGCTAGAGCTTAGTTGTTTAGCATGAAACATCTTCTTATGGGTGTCTACCAAGTTTGTGCAAATAAAAGCCCTTGGGTTAAATTGGCCCTGCAATGTTGGGGGGGGGGGGGGGTTGGGGGGGGTCTATTTACAGGTGAGCGACCTCAGGGTCATCATGGCCCTCTTGTTTTAAGTTAATAAAACAAATAATGAGTGATGTTATAAATATTTTATTTAACTTCTTCAGCCAGTGACAGAAGTCCGGGCCACACTGCAGCTGACATTATACATATAGGTACAGCAAACCCTGTTGGACTGTACTCTATGAACCCACGTACAATGACGGCAAACTTTCTCGACATGTACGATGTTTTCCCAATGATCAGCGGTTCTTACAGACCGTATGTTAAATTATACCCACTGGGAGCCCCTCTAGATGATAATATCATTCTACATGAAGAAGTTGTAAGTTTAAATTTTAGCATATGCTCGAAACCATAATTTTTGTAATATATAAAATTTAATTATGAATATGTAATAATTGATAATTGGAGAAACTGTATGGTTGCATTATAGCTCTGATTAGGCTTTTTTATAGTTAAAGGTATTTCAGTTATTCAGAATTAAAGAAAAAGACCATCTTATAAAATAAACCTGCATTATCAGAAAATGAGTTCCATGTAGATGCTAATTCAATTCTTTAACTACTATTTCATTGTTTGTTATATTTGGAATATTTTCAGACTAACACTATACTGAATATAAACTACGAGACCGGTGAGATTTCACGTGTAGTGATTGACAGTTTACCTCAGACTGCTCCAGAGAGAGGTAGATTTGTGTCGGCTGCAGCAACCAAGTCTGTACGTCATTCTGTTTATTTTTATTTATTTTTGATACCTGTTTTGGGCAATACTGATAGACTTGTCCCGCTTCTAATTAAGAACAATTTCATTACTTGTTATAGGGATATCAAGAACAATATGATAAATTTTGGCTGTAGGCTTTTAAAGACTTTGATTTGGTCACATAGATTTAGAGACTGACTTCATATTTGTAGTTAAAGATAGCTGTTAATGTTGCTATTATGTCAAAACTATGCTATCAAATGTTCGAGTCTTCCTGTTAAAGAATTTCTAAGTTACTGTTCATTGTTTTATTACTAATATTTGCTTAATATGTTGTAAATTAGGTTTGAATAGAGCTTGTATATTTTCATAGAGTCCGTACAGATTGTGTACAAATTGTGTTCCTGATCCCTGTGGTACTGTTGTGTTCTATGAAAAAAATGGGTATGCTATTTATACATTGTTTCTATTGATAAATTAGTATCTAAGCAACTTTAGATTAGTGGCCCCTTCCTAATTTGTATCATGAATTCTGCATAGAATTTAAGAATGGTCTATTGTTCTTTTAAGTTGTTTCATTATGAAAAAGCTTAGATTTGGCAGACAATTTAAATTTTGTAGACAAGTATATTTATTTGGCAGACACAGACATTATGAATGGCAGGCAACACTATTATAGATTTGTCAATCAACAATTTGAATTAGAGTGGTGGCATGGCCGAGTGGTTAATGCTTTAGACTAATAATCTTATGATCGCTAGCCGCATGGGTTCAAACCCTGGCAGGGGCAAGTCGTTGTTTCCTTGAGCAAGAAACTTTACACTCATTGCTCAGTACTGGTTGGTTCCAAGAACGGATTTGAAAGTGTGTTTATAAGCTAATAGCTTCCTACACAATCAAACTAAAATAAATTCTGTATAAACCAACAATTTGAACTTTTCAGACAACAATAAAACTTTTGCAGACAATAATTTGAATTTGTCAGAAAGCACTATAAATTTGTCAGACAAGCTATAGAAGGGACTCACTGAGGTTATTTTTACATGAAGGGACTGGAATAATTTTTCAAGATTAATATTCCATTGTTGAAATGCTTTTCACTCAAATTAGGCTAAGAATTGCACAAAGAATGATTGAGTATATTTCATAATTATGTTATGCATATCTATTTCAAGTGCCCCAAATGATCTATGTAAGAAATTTAAATTTTATGTTTTTAGGCTTTTTGACCTCAGTGGAGTTCCTTTAATTTGTCAGACAACTGTATTAAGCAGAGTCAGGGAGCATGGGCTGGTCTTGATTTAGATAAATATTGTCATTGACTATCTGCAAAGTAGTTTGATGGGGTCATGATAAACCATAGATACACATGCATACCCACAACAATAAGTAATTCAAATGCCAGCTGCCATTCAGATTAATTGCAATTTATTCCAGTGATTTTTCATAAAATACATATAGCTTTACTTAGTTTATTGTATGATTTCAATGGAATTGCAGTTTATATTGATAGATTAAGTTATTACATAGAAATGATTATAATGGATATATAATATATTTCAGAGATTTTCTGGAGTTTGTTAGTGTATTAGAGGGTATATCACACAATGTGTCAATACCAATACACGTCAATGATGTTCATCAGACAGGCACTAACAAATGGTTACTGACAGAAGATAAAACTTTCAAGTAAGATGTTCTTTCTATTTTCTTTATTAATGTAAATGACTGAAAGAATGTGAAAATTGATATTCTTATCAATGCAATATCTTCTTAAAATTAAGAATTAGAAACTTATAGTTATATATAACATAGACATAATTACAAAACTGCATGTTTGTAATGTTGTTTTTAGCTCACCTTGCACAAAGTGCAGGTGAGCTTTTAGGATGGCCAACCAAATGGCGTCCGTCGTCAGTCGTCCGTCCACATTTTAAATATTCTAAGGACATCTTCTATGATCACCGCAAGGTCAATGTTAATGAAACTTGGGGCAGGAATACTCTTTGTATGAAGCTCTATCAAAGATTGTTCAAAGAATTCCCTTTCATCAAGAACTCTGGTTGGCCATGGCAACCGAAAGAAAATCTTTAATATCTTCTTTTAAAAGAACCGTAAGAGCTAGAGCTTAGATATTTGGCATGAAACATCTTCTAATGAGTGTCTACCAAGTTTGTTCAAATAAAAGCCCTAGGGTCAAAATTGGCGGCCCCGCCCCAGGGGGTCATTGATTTCCCTATATGCATATAGTAAAAACTTTAAAAATCTTCTTTTAAAGAACCCAAAAGAGCTAGAGCTAAGATATTTGGCATGAAACATCTTCTAGTGAGTGTCTACCAAGTTTGTTCAAATAAAAGCCCTGGGGTCAAAATTGGCCCCGGCCCGGGGGGTCATTGATTTTCCCTATATGCATAAAGTAAAAACTTAAAAAATCTTCTTTTAAAGAACTGTAAAAGCTAGAGCTTAGATATTTGGCATGAAACATCTTCTAGTGAATGTTCTACCAAGTTTGTTCAAATAAAAGCCCTGGGGTCAAAATTGGCCCCGCCTCCAGGGGGGTCATTGATTTTCCCTATATGCATATAGTAAAACTTAAAAAATCTTCTTTTAAAGAACCCAAAGAGCTAGAGCTAAAGATATTTAGCATGAAACATCTTCTAATAAGTGTCTACCAAGTTTGTTCAAATAAAAGCCCTGAGGTCAAAATTGGCCCTGCCCCAGGGGGTCATAGATTTTCCCATTAATGCATATAGTAAAAACTTAAAAAATCTTCTTTTTAAAGAACCCAAAGAGCTAGAGCTAAGATATTTGACATGAAATATCTTCTAGTGAGTGTCTACCAAGTTTGTTTCAAATAAAAGCCCTGGGGTCAAAATTGGCCCCGCCCCGGGGGGTCATTGATTTTTCCCAATATGTATATAGTAAAAACTTAAAAATCTTCTTTTAAAGAACCGTAAGAGCTAGAGCTTAGATATTTGGCATGAAACATCATCTAGTGAATGTCTACCAAGTTTGTTCAAATAAAAGCCCTGGGGTCAAAATTGGCCCCGTCACAGGGGGTCATAGATTTTCCCTATATGCATATAGTAAAAACTTAAAAAATCTTCTTTTAAAGAACCCAAAGAGCTAGAGCTAAGATATTTAGCATGAAACATCTTCTAATGAGTGTCTACCAAGATTGTTCAAATAAAAGCCCTGGGGTCAAAATTGGCCCCGCCCCAGGGGGTCATTGATTTTCCCTATATGCATATAGTAAAAACTTAAAAAATCTTCTTTTAAAGAACCCAAAGAGCTAGAGCTAAGATATTTAGCATGAAACATGTTCTAATGGGTGTCTACCAAGTATGTTCAAATAAAAGCCCTGGGTCAAAACTGGCCCCGCCCGGGGGTCATTGATTTTCCTTATATTGTATAGCAAAAAACTTAAAAAATCTTCTTTGAAAAATCCCAAATAGCTTGAGTTTAGATATTTATACATGAAACATTTTTTAAGTAAATATCTACAAAGTTTTGTTCAAATAAAAGCCCGGGGGTCAAAACTGGCCCTGCCCCAGGGGTGTCATTGTTTTTAACTATATGTGTATAGTAAAAACTTAAAAAATCTTCTTTTAAAAAAACCCATGAGCTAGAACTTAGATGTTTAGCATGAAACATCTTCTTATGGGTGTCTACCAAGTCTGTTCAAATAAAAGCCCTTGGGTAAAAATTGGCCCGGGGGGGGGGGGGGGGGCTATATACAGGTGAGCGACCTCAGGGCCATCATGGCCTCTTGTTCATAAAAAGTTTTGTTATTGTATGCTTAACCTTTTTTAACCAATAAATTTGCTAAATCCTGTAGACTTACTTGCACAAACATTATTCCCCCTTCAATGTCTTCTACCAATAAAGCAAATGTTAATTGACCGCCATTATATATTTCTTGGGTTGCAGCACAGGAGCTTGACATTCTATCAAAAATTGAAAAAAGATATAAGCGAATGATTAAGAATAATGGCAAAAATACCCCTCTATACAAGTTTATTTATTTTATAGAGGGGTATATTTGCCGTTATTTCTTTATTATTTGCTTATATTTTTCAATTATTGATAGAATGTCATGCTCCTGTGGTTACAGATATATGCTTTTTTGCAAAATGTACAGAAATTTCTTTATGTGTTAATTGTTTTCATGACATGATTTTCTTTTTTCATTTGGCAAAAAATTGCACAGATGATTGGTTTGAATAATCTCTGTATAGAGATACACAATACAACAAACAAATGGTGAGGATGTTACATATATATATGGTTTACTTTTATATTATAGGAAGTACTTGTTGATCAGAGATGGAATTGAAGATTTTAAGTTGAACGCCATCATAGAGGAAGATGGTTAGTAGATAATTATAAAATTTTAAAATATTTTATCAATGCTAAATATCTGGAAAGAAGTGATCCCCCAGAAGCATTAAAAGCAGCAAATTAACATGAAAACTGCCGATTCAGTTTGATTGAGTCTGTACATGAGAGATAATGAAAGAGTGCAACATCCCTCACGCCCCCTAGCACCGGCTTGAGCAGTACTCAACACTTAAAAGTGCTGAAATCAGTGATCACTTGTTTCTTACATCAATATGACTTTGAAATTGTTTTGGAAGAATTAGTCTGTCGGCTGTGTGAGTTCAGTACATGTAATAAGCAGACAATTTTATTATTGAAACTGAACTTCTGTTTTGCCATCTTACTCTGGTCGCTAAAATACATGTAAATCTTTGTACAGAATTGTGTAGTGTTTTTGTCTGTAAGATACAATAGTACACATGTTTTGTCTTTAAGAAGTTTTAATAAATATTTGTGACAATGCAAAACACATGGTTTATAAAATAAAACTTACATAACATCTACTGATGTTTCAGGTGCTAGCAGTATGTATATACAGAAATGTTCAACAGTACCTATGTCTGATAATGTACTGTCTGCTACCCTGGGGGAGAAAATATCATCACCTAACAGAGTAATGGTTTCTCCAGACTCCTATGGTAGTGTATTGAAAGGATTTCCAGATCAGGTAATTGCTTTTAAGCATTTCCTTGGGAAATTTGGTGGTTACTGCAAAATCATTATTTGTGGGCACTAATTTTCATTGTTTTCATTGATAGATCAATCAACAAATTTTAAATCTAACGAAATTTCATTTTGTCTGCTGTAAGAGTTTTTTGCATTACGTTATTTACAGTTTACCTTTTAGAAAAAGAAGCAAGTCTGCTAATTTAACAAACCATGCAAATGTTCGTGACAAAACCACGAAATTTCATGCCCATGAAATTAAGCGAATTTACAGTAATATACAACAAATGTAGTATGATAAAGCATAGATGAATTTATACACCACAAAATGATTTCCTTTTGTGGAATGCTAAGACATTCAGTTTAAATGTGAGTATATAAAGAATATATATATATATATAAATGATAGTTTCAGAATTATATTTAGGGATCCATTGTGCCAAGTTCTTATCTATTGAATTTGAATAAATATGTAAAAATAATGAAGCAATGTTTTCCTTTATATATTAATGTGGATAGGAAGTAGCAAAGTTAGGGGTTCTAAACAAACTGTTATTGTCATTTATTTTACTCAATGGTTTCAAAGTAGGTTTGATTAGAAAATAGGGAAAATATGAATCCCTAAAGAAATCCCAACACTGCAAAATTGAAAATGTTGCAGACTCGGTTTGATTAAGCCTGTTCATGGACGGTACTGTCATGTGCAAACTACCGCCCCCACCCCCTATCACCGAAGCATAATTCAACCTTTTAACTTGAAATGGTAAAATTTTGAATTTAGAAACATCCATAGATGTGTTCATACGGTGGTAATCATGGAACCTTCATCACGGAACCTTATAGAAAGATAAGATACATAGATGGTTTGTATTGTGTTTTATATTTGTACAGGCTAAGACTGAGATTTATAAAAGTCCACGGGAACCATTCAAGGATGAACAGCCTGTGTCAGGAGATAAGTTACTTGGATTTACATTAAAACAAGATAAACAAAGCCCAGCACCATCTGTTGTATATCTGCCAGACTGTGGACAAGTTGTTAGAACCATTCCTACATGGAAAGCCCCAGAAGGTGTTTTCCCTAAAGGTATATTATTGGTTTGTCATTGCTATAGGGGAAATTGTATACAGCTTATAGAATATCATGTGACTTTAAACATGAAAGAGCAAAAATATTTAGGGAATGGGTTTTAAATTTATGTTTTACACTTTGTTTGATATTGCATGAACCATAATGCACAGAAATGGTGTAATATTGGATGGTAAGTTAAAGTGAGTTAGATTAGGGTATTTAGTAAATAAGTAAGTAAGTAAGCATGTAACAACTTTATTTAATGAGGCTAACACATTCGGTTTCCAGACCTCAGCATGTACGTACATTACACATTTTAAATAACAAATAAAAAAAAATATAAAAAAAGATTTCAAGGAGCCACATTTTCATAACCCCCAGCATGGAAAATACATTATTTTACAAGTAAGAGTGGAACAATATTGTAAAAACAAAACATTATACATCCTTTCATATAGAAATATTTGAAAGACCCTGGTTAGATTAAATGACATATTGTATCATATGAAACAAAAATGCTGTCAAAATTAGAATATTTTTAACCACAACTATTTTAAAAGTAATTGACTTGATATCACTTTTCTTAGCAACAAACTTTCAATCTAAAGGTTATGATGTCATCATTCCTTTCTTGAAATAGGAAAATATGTAAACATTATGCTTGTTTGATAAAAAGCTATATGTTTTTAGCTCACCTGTCACAAAGTGACAGGATGAGCTTTTGTGATGGCTTTTCGTCCGGCGTCCGGCTGTCCGTCCGTAAACTTTTACTTTAAATGACATCTCCTCATAAACCACTAAGCCAATTTCATCCAAACTTCACAGGAATGTTCCTTTGGTGGTCACCTTTAAAAATTGTTCAAAGAATTTAATTCCATGCAGAACTCTGGTTGCAATGGCAACCGAAAGAAAAAACTTTAAATATCTTCTTTTAAAAAACCCATAGAGCTAGAGCTAAGATATTTGGCATGAAACATCTTCTAGTGAGTGTCTACCAAGTTTGTTCAAATAAAAGCCCTGGGGACAAAATTGGCCCCACCCCAGCAGCGTTGCATCTAGGACGCATATTTTTTCTACTTCCATTTTTGAGCGGACGATAGCTGTCAAAAATGCCTGAATGTAAAATAAATGAACTCTATTCGGTATGTCATATTGTAAGGTAAATTAATGTCCTCCACATCTTTTTCAAATCCCCCACATTTTTCAATTGTGTGGGGGACAATCTCCCATAATTTTGAAATTCTAGATGCAACACTGCCCCAGTGGGTCATTGATTTTCCCTATATGCATATAGGTAAAACTTAAAAAATCTTCTTTTAAAGAACCCAAAGAGCTAGAGCTAAGATATTTAGCATGAAACATCTTCTAATGAGTGTCTACCAAGTTTGTTCAAATAAAAGCCCTGGGGTCAAAATTGGCCCCGCCCCAGGGGGTCATTGATTTTCCCTATATGCATTATTAGTAAAAACTTAAAAAATCTACTTTTAAAGAACCCAAAGAGCTAAAGCTAAGATATTTAGCATGAAACATGTTCTAATGGGTGTCTACAAAGTTTGTTCAAATAAAAGCCCTGGGGTCAAAATTGGTCCCACCCCAGGGGGTCATTGATTTTCCCTGTATGCATATAGTAAAAACTTAAAAAATCTTCTTTAAAGAACCAAAAGAGCTAGAGCTAAGATATTTAGCATGAAACATGTTCTAATGGGTGTTTACAAATTTTGTTCAAATAAAAGCCCTGGGGTCAAAATTGGCCCCGCCCTGGGGGTCATTGATTTTCCTTATATGTGTATAGCAAAAACTTAAAAAATCTTCTTTTAAAAAAACCAAATAGCTAGAGTTTAGATATTTGGCATGAAACATCTTCTAATGAGTGTCTACAAAGTTTGTTCAAATAAAAGCCCTAGGGTCAAAATTGGCCCGCCCCGGGGGTCATTGATTTTCCTTATATGTGTATGGCAAAAACTTAAAAATCTTCTTTGAAAAAACCCAAATAGCTAGAGTTTAGATATTAAGCAATAAACATCTTGTAGTAAGAGTCTACAAAGTTTGTACAAATAAAAGCCCTGGGGTCAAAATTGGCCCTGCCCCGGGGGTCATTGATTTTCCTTATATGTGTATAGCAAAAACTTAAAAAATCTTCTTTTAAAAAACCCAAAGAGCTATAGCTTAGATATTGGCATGAAACATCTTCTAGTGAGTGTCTACCAAGTTTGTTTAAATAAAAGCCCTGGGGTCAAAATTGGCCCCGCCCCAGGGGGTCATTGATTTCCTTATATGTGTATAGTAAAAACTTAAAAAATCTTCTTTTAAAAAACCCAATGAGCTAAAGGTTAGATGTTTAGCAAGAAACATCTTCATGAGGGTGTGTACCAAGTTTTTCAAATAAAAGGGCTTGGGTTAAAATTGGCCCTGCCAGGGGGGGGGGGGCAGAGGTCATTGTTTTTCATTATATGTGTGTAGTAAAAACTTAACATCATGAAATATCTTCTAATGTGTGTCTTCCAAGTTTGTTCAGATAAAAGCCCTGGGGTTTAAACTAGCCCCGCTCCGGGGGCCTATATACAGGTGAGCGATCTCAGGGCCATCATGGCCCTCTTGTTTAATTTACTTTTCATAAAAATGGAGTTTAGCATAGAGGGATAAAAACCCACAAAAATACCAATAAGAGACTGCATATAAGCTTTATTTATTACATTGAGAAACACTAATTTTTAATTGATTTTACTATTGGAAGCAGATAACTGTACTGTCATACTGAATTTTGTTATTTATACTGCTGTATAGTGATTGATTTTTAAGTATAAGATAAAACATTCTATATACATAACATATTACATGATGCCATGTTTTTCATATGATTATGTATTGATGTAAAATGACTGTATGTATGTGAAATTGATATATATCATAATAGTATAACAAATAGTGATTGAATATAGTCTGAAACAGTTACATTTATTGTGACAACAATACTGACTACTGCTACTTGATTGAATAAAATGATTAAGGTGTTTTGCATTTTTACAGTGGTACTTTACACAGCTTAAAATCAATTGTTGTATTTTCTACTTTACAGATAAGCGCCCCCATGTGAGTGGTCTTCTAGAAGTGTCAGATTTGGCTCATCATAAACTTCGTTACATCATGGTGCCAGGGTAATATGTTTATTAGCTTTATATAAATAGAGGATATTGAATGAGTGTAGTTTAATACTAAATTTATTGAACAAGTTGAATAAAAACATATTATGCGAGCCTCTGGCGAGCATAATATTGTTTTATTCAACGAGTTCAATAAATTTAGTATTGAATCTACAACAAATACATATTCTATTTTATCACACATATAAAAAAGAACAAGTAAACCGTTAAAAAAATGGGTAATTTTTTCAATGTAGCGCCTATAGTGTAACGCTAAAACATTAGCACGCTCTTTAACGCTATTGTTTCTATATAGCTTCAAATGACTATCAATGCAAAGGTTATTACACTAGTGTAATATCGTTTTTATTAAATGGCTTTATTACACTCCTCCGCCGCAGTTTATGTGATAAATTTGTAATATATGTACCACATGGGTTTATGACCTTCTGGTTTGATTGAATATAATCTTGAATCTTGAAATCTTGATAAAATTATTTATTTATTTGTTCATTAACAGTTAAATGTTTAAATTTCCTCAGGGCTAAAGCAGTAAAAGGTGTTTCATAACACTGTTCCATTTCTTAATCATAGCCTATTAACCTATCCTGTTTTAAGACAAAAAGGAATGACATATACATGTATATGATAAGGCCAATTACTGTAATCCAACAAGGATAGAAACTTTGGTGCTTTGCTGAAGGCTGAATATTCACAGATAGTTATATTTACCTTTTCCAAGTTTCGAAAGGAAATAAAAAAATTGTGGATTCGCAAGTAGGAGTGTTTAATCATATACATTTTTAATGGACATGAACTTCAATAATTTAGATCATTTTAGATTATAAAGTTGTCTATCAATAGATTAGCAATAAACTTATATACTGATATACAAATGTACTTATATGTCAGCTACTATAAGAAATTGTTTTCTCCATATACATGTCTATATTATATTGTGATGCTTGGCAGTTTTAAAATGTTGGTTTTTGTATAACAGTATTTAGATATGTACAGTAAGTTAACAGTTATTCTAATTTAAATACGTTACGATACTTACATAAATACAGGTTCAGTACAATATATAATACTAAAACATATAATAAGGTATATACATGTATATATATATTTATAGAGCTACAAGACAGTCTCCCTACGCCTCCTGGCTATTTAACATTTCTGACACAAGTTTACTGATGGCTGGAACTTAGTAATGAGGTATAGTTTACAGTGGATGTTGGTGGTTGTGTACGATTGGTGGGGGAAACTTCCTTCTTAAACTTGAAAGGTCAATTGCTGACATGGAAGAATATGATTGGCCCTGGCAGGATACCAGACCCTTACAGGTATACACCCGTTGACAGTCTCTTTAAGAACTAAGTAAATAACCGATATATCAAGTGAAAAATGACGAGTTGTTTTCCCTTATGCTTCGAGTAAAATTTATATCTCTAATGCTAAAACAATACAAAATTAGCATTGCTTTCTGCCAGTACCGTTCAGTGCTTTTATTTTTCTCCAAATTATGTTGTTTGCCAAAACTTAAAAATTGTTCAAGATTTCATTGAATTATTATAAAAACCAACATAGTTTATTCTTTGCCTCTTTACATTTACATTTTTTATAATATTTTGTGTTATGAACATCATCCAGATCATCATCATAGGAAAAAGAATCCTCATTATAATGGGCATCATCATAATTATTGGCATCATCATTATCATTATTATCATGAGCATTATCATTATTATCACCATTATTATCATCATTATCATCATCATTGTTATCATTATCATAATTATTGTTATTAAAATCATCATGATCTATCATCATCATGATCATTTATTTATCATGAAAAGCAAAATTATTCATAAATTTTATTCACCAATAATAAAATTAATTTCATCAAAAATCAAAAAATCAACCATGATCAATTATTATCATTATCATAATTATCGTTGATATCATCATGATCATTATCATCATCATTATCGTTATTATCATCATGATCATTATTATCATCATCATTCATGATCATTATTATCGTTACTATCTTCATCGTCATTATCATCATCATCTTAATCAAGTTCATCATCGCTTTCTTCATTTATAGTTACATAAGAAGATAATGTCCATTAAAGTATATAAAATTAGGGCATATTATATTTTGGGGTAACATATGATAGAATTGGCCTACAGCTAAATGACCTAAACGGGGTAAAGTTGACTCAAAAAATAAACTCATGTAGGGAAATCCCTGGGCGGGGGGGACGGGTAGACTTTTAAAAGAAATGAAAAAAAGGTGAAATAAGGAGAAAAATGAAGGTATTACTAAAAAGTGTTTGGTAAAATATTTGATTAAAAAATTTAACATTTTCCAAAAAAGGAGTAGGGTTAAAAAATGTTAATACACTTTTGAGATATTAAATGAATTTTATCCCATACCTTACTTTTGAAGTTTTTTAAAAATTTTTTTTTAGTTTGATTGTGTTGGATTCTTCAAACTTTAATTGAAACAGTCTCAAATCCGTTCCTGGAACCAACTTGTATTACAATACAATACAATACAATACAAATACTTTATTCGCTTTAAGGCCTCGGCCCATGCAAAAACATATATACAGAGAAAACAATTTACACAAAATTATAGCATGTGCACAATGTTTAAACATATACTATATAAATTTAACTAAAATAACTTTTAAGCATTAAAAAAAAAAATTTTCTGGGAGTTTCTTAATTATCATTTTGTATCTAAGACATATTAATTGTTAATCTTTCTTTTTTCAAAACGTAATACAAAAAATGTTGCTGTCCGATTTATAAGATCATTATTTTTTGTAGACATTAATATATTAAATTTGTTTCGGGTTGGAGCATTTTAGGTACTTAATCGGTAAAGTATAATTTTCCTAAGTTCTGATAAAAATCAGCACATAGTAAAAATGAAATTCATCTTCTATTACATTCTAGAACATTTTTGGTGCATAATCTGTTTTCCTCAATATCTTTTTATGTCTACCAACCTCAATTTCAAGATCATGTGACCCTATTCTAAAATTTGAGTATATATATCTAAATTTTCTAAATGTCTAGAACATCTAATAACATTCATATGAGAAATTTTCCTTAAACATACCATAAAAAGACATTTTACATTAGAGGTTACAGATGAAAATGCCACTCTTGTAGGTATATATCTTTTAACCTATTTTCAAATTGTGCTATAAAGTATTTATCTGATGTAACAGATTGACTTTCCCATACATATCCCAAAACCATGACTTTTGTAAAATTTTTTCTTAAAGATGTAACCCCAATTGGTCATGTCCCTGTATATCATCATTAAACATCATTAAGTAACACTTTTAAACTAATCTATCGTTTTTGGCATTTTAATAATTTTTAAACCAATAGTTAATAACACCTCTTAATGGATATTAAATACTATGGGATAACCTCCCGCAGTCGCCTAATACAGCTACATTGGATGCATTTTGTTTACAACACATAAAGCGTTGCATGCATAATAATTGTACTCGTTCTAGCTCTTCTAAAATTTACCATGCCCAAATTTTAAAGTAACTGAGGACATATTTTAGTATCAAATAGTTTAAAAAATACTTTCTTCAATCTACAAGGATGTTAAGAATTGAATGATAAAAACTTACGCCTTTATGCATAACTCGTGTACCATTCTTTTCATAGAAAGTTGTCTTGTAAATGTTAAACCCGTAACTAAAAGCATTAACCGAACTTCAATCTGCTTTGTTTTTATAAAGTCCATTTTTTTTCAATTTTACTAATGTACCACCATTTGTTTTAAAACAACATTTTTGTTTTACTTTCATTTACTTTAAGTTTTATATGTATCCCCGTCAAAAAAATGATAAAGTATCTAACTGTTTTTTTGTAAAAGCAGAAACTGTATCTGAAAGGAGAGCAATATCAATCTGCAAAAACATTAAAGATAAAAGTTGTGCTCAGACGGATGTAAATTGAATTCCTCTTATGATGCCAACTTATCTCTAAAATATGTTGGTAATTCAATCTATATAGAAAGAGAAGAATCCGGGCTGGCCGAAACAACCTTGTTTATTCCTAACTGAAATTAAATATGTAATCACTTCTTTCATTATTACATCTAATACAATGCTTTAAACGTTTCTATACATACTTTGAAAGCTATATACAATTTTCCACTGACACCCCATTTCTAAGTACATTTCAAAGAATTTGATCTATTTATGGTATCAAAACATTTATGAAGAATGCCATGAATGCAACAAATATCTTTTTGTTTTTTATTTTTAACGTAGTCCTAGTCGGTTAAAGATTTTAAATAAATGCATTATCCACAGTTGAGTTCCTGCTTTTTTAAAACCACTCTGGTTTTCAGAAATTTTTACTATATATTTGTGCAAAAAAATTTCAAACGAGCCACTAAAATCCCACAATATATTTTACTAAAACATTTGTAAACTTATACCCCTATAAATTGTCCACATTGTTTATATCTCCTTTTTTGTGAAAGTGTTGTTATAATAGATTCACACCAGGATTCTGGATACTCGCCTGTAGCAAATAGTCGATTAAGACAATTTAACAAGTATATGTATAAAGCTATCTATACCGTAAATGAAAAACTCTGGGATTAGGATTATCAGGACCTGGTTTTTTTTACCAGTTTTAATATGCTTTACAGCCATTCTTACTTCATCTTCAGTGATCTCAGAATTAAAAAATGTATTGATCAACTTCATTATCTATTTCTTCATTTAATCATTTCTAAATTTTCACCAGTATTTTCATCACATTCATAGGGTTTAGCAGGCCTGTAAAATATTCAAGCCATTCCTGAGGTAGAAATAGTTGTTTACTGTCCTACTTTTCTTGCCAGTCATAGATTTTAAGTTTTTGACCAAAATGACTTAGGATCGTTTACTTTTGCTGTCAGGTCATCAAGGTTTTGTTTATTGTATTCTCGGCATCTTCAAATTACACTTGTTTTGAAACTCATTTCGTTTTTAAAAAGATATCTTTGCAAATTTATGTCAGACCTACAATTCCTATATTGTCTTAACAGTTTATATTTTTGATTTTTTAAAATCTTACAATCTAAATCGAACCATTTTGGTGATGAAGGAAGCTTAAAATTTGACTTTTTTTGAAAATGCTTACCAATATCAGTTAGACATGTACTAAAATTAGATACAATATTATCGAGTGCTGAGTGTAAATTTTTTAATCATCTAAAGTTAGACACATGGTCTATAATATGGTATAAATGTTAACAAAAATTATATGTATTTTATAGGTGGTAGTAATACAGCTGGTTTAGGTGGTATCGGTGGTCCATACAGATTAGACGCCGGTCATAATGTGGCTCAAGTTGCCCAGTGGGAGAAAGATAACGTACCAGAACATGTTCGTAAAGCTGCCAGGGAAATGGGACAAAAAGCATTTAAAGAAAGGTGTAGTATTTTAATAAATGACCTTTCATTGCTAAATGTTGTACAATTATTGACTAATGAGCCATTGAATATGATGTGATATTCACCGGCAGATGACATATTAACCGAGGTTGAGGCTGATTTGTTTCCATACTTATTTTCAGCCCTTCACATTTTTAATGGTGATGTCATTATGTCGAATGATTACATCACATGTCTAAGAAAGAATGGCAACAGTGATTTTACTGCATAACACACACTTTTGGTCCTTCTATGTTCAATTTTAAAACATGCTGGCTGTGTTAGAATATGATTTTATGAATAGTTCTGTTGACTACTGTTTGAACCAATGAGATTACAGCTATATTTAGATCATATAATAAAAGTAATTATATGTCTCTGCAATAATACAAACCATAATGACCTTTTGTCTTCAGTGACAGTTTAATATTAGTTATGATTTAGTTTTAATTTTTTTTTCCGTTTGAATAAACAAGGATGTACAACTGTTTATATATCTTTTATGTTGATAGACAATCTGAAGCTCTTTGCTGTTCCTATTTTCATGAGATTATAAATGTTTGTAGAATGTCTACACGGACAGTTACTTGTATCTGGGTCACTCCTTATCCAGTTAGCATACTTGAGAACTGAGGTTCTTCTCTGATTCTGAAGCACATACATGTCTAAACAATGCACCTAAAGTCTTCCTCAACTAGGATAGCAGAAAAGTCAACATAATGATGAACTAAAACTCGAAACTAAATCAGTGACAAACAAAAAAAGAGCAGGAAGTGGCTTTAATGATCAAGAATTATTTTTGTGGTAACTTTTCAGATTAAAGGAAATACAGATGAGTGAGTATGATGCCGAGACGTACGAGAATTTTGCTGGTCATGTAAGAAGACAAGTTCAGTCACTCCGAGTGATCATAGACAGTCTACAGGTAAATATGTTAACATTTATGTATAATATGCAGGAATGCAGTTGGTTTTATGTATTTTCTAGGCTTTTGCATAATTATAATTGATAATGAAACATTCATCTAATATACAATACTTAGTACTTGGTACATGTACCTATATATAGAGGATATTCAAGTTTTTTCTATAAATACATGATTTATTTTCATCGAGTGGTATGAAAATAAATATTTCATGAGTGGCGGTAGCCACAAATGAAATATGGTAATTTTCATGCCACAAGATGAAAATATTCATGTATTTATAAAAAAACTTGAATTTTCTGTTTGTTATATACATTTTTCTCTTTTTTTGACATTAAAATTTGAAAGACTTTCCCTTAAATTATGTGTACTGGCAGAATTTAAAAGAAAGTAGTCCGGCAAGACACCAGTGAAAATACGGAAAATATGTTTCACTGCAGTGAAAAATAAATTTTTACAGTGAAAATACGGAAAATGAAAATACGCATTTTCTTTCATCAATATTTCTCAATATTTCATTTATATAGAGGATATTTGTTTAGTTCAGTGTAAGATCGGAATATATTTCACTGAGTGAGCACCAAAAGGTATATTTCACGAGTGGCGCAGCCACGAGTGAAATATGAACTTTTGGTGTTCACAAGGTGAAATATATTTCGATCTTACACTAAACTTAACAAATTTTCTTTTTATGCCCCCGCCATGTAATGGCCGGGGCATATAGTGTTACCCTGTTCCGTCATTCCGTCCTTCCGTCCTTCCATCCTTCCGTCCTTCCGTCATTCTGTCATTCCGTCATCATCAGTTTCCGTTCATTATCTTAAGAACGGTTGGGCACATTCAACTCAAATTTGACATATGGATATGTCATGAGAAAATACAGGTCAAGTTCGAATTTGGTCATGGTTCGATGATTTTTGGCAGAGTTATGCCCCTTTTACTTTGAAAATAATATGAAATTTCAGTTTCCGTTCATTATCTCAAGAACGGTTGGACACATTCAACTCAAACTTGACATATGGATATGTTATGAGAAAATACAGGTCAAGTTCGAATTTGGGTATGGTTCGATGATTTTTGGCAGAGTTATGCCCCTTTTACTTTGAAAATAATATGAAATTTTCAGTTTCCGTTCATTATCTCCCCAACGGTACAACACAATCAACTCAAACTTGACATATGGATATGTCATGAGAAAATACAGGTCAAGTTCGAATTTGGTCATGGTTCGATGATTTTTGGCAGAGTTATGCCCCTTTCACTTTGAAAATAATATTAAATTTCAGTTTCCGTTCATTATCTCCCTCAAGGTACAACACATTCAACTCAAACGTGACATATTGATGCGTCAAAGGACATGCGCAGGTCAAGTTCAAATTTGGTTGTGGTTCGATGATTTTTGGCAGAGTTATGCCCTTTTACTTTGAAAATAATATGAAATTAATATGAAATTTTCAGTTTCCGTTCATTATCTCCCTCAAGGTACAACACATTCAACTCAAACGTGACATATGGATGCGTCAAAGGGATGCACAGGTCAAGTTCAAATTTGGTCATGGTTCGATGATTTTTGGCAGAGTTATGCCCCTTTCACTTTGAAAGCAATATGAAATTTTCAGTTTCCGTTTATTATCTCCCCAATGGTACAACACATTCAACTCAAATTTGACATATGGATATGTTTTTGGAATGCCCAGGTCAAGTTCAAATTTGGTCATGGTTCGATGATTTTTGGCAGAGTAATGTCCCTTTCACTTTGAAAATAATATGAAATTTACAGTTTCTGTTCATTATCTACCTAACAGTGTTACATATTCAATTTTAATTTGACATATGGATATGTTTTTGGAATGGGCAGGTCAAGTTGGAATTTGGTCATGGTTTGATGGATTTTTGGCAGAGTTATGTCCCTTTCACTTTGAAAATAATATAGATACATCTTAGGAATAAGCAGTTTAAGTTTGAATTGGTTGTGGTTCAATGATTTTAGACAAACTTATCTTTCCTGAATGTTGGAAAAATTTTGAACTTTCAGTTTCAGCACTCATTCTTTTAGCCATTATTTTGGCTACAAATATGCAATATGCTTTTTCTAAAGGTTAAGACTGAATAATTTCAGTGCCTTGAACGTTGTATGGAAATGGTTTGTGTTAACATTGAAAAGTTTTAAGGGCTTTGAACTTAAAATGAAAAAAAAAAATTAATGCACCATCTGAAATTTTGGCTGCATGCGGGGGCATCCGTGGCATGATGACACATTTCTAGTTATTATATGCAAAGAAACGTTTTAAAAAGACATTAAACCTAATAATGAATGAAAAGCGCGCCAAATAATAATACAACGTGACGTCATTTACGACGTCACGTCATTAAGTTGGTACCCAGTACTGTGCACGCTGGTATTTTACTGAAACAACGTAAGGGGCTTAAATTCAAAACAGTGAAATTATCAAAGTGGTAATTTCACTGTTTCAAACAGTGAAATTACGAGTTTTATTTAACTGATATATTTCTATAAACCACCGAAAAGCATGTAATAAAAGTATATAATAAATGATTTTACTGTGTTATTCTTGCAGAGTAAATAAGATATTACTTTATGTGTATCATTTGTTCTTTCATTTTTGAAAACCGACGTGGAAGCTTCTTAACTCTTAATAATCAAGGTAAAAAATCACACAAATTCACCTTTTATGGTTGAATTGAATTGACTTATTTCTAAATGTCTTTAAAGAAATTTATCTTTTTCTTTTGGTCATTTATCTTATATTATGTATAAACGTGGCACTTACATGTTATCTAGGCAAAGAGTAAAGAGCGTCAGTGGTTGAAAAATCAGACATACGGTGATTTAGATGATGCTAAACTAATTGATGGTCTGACAGGGGAGAAAACTGTGTATAAACGACGAGGTGAAAAAGAACCAGAGGTATGTTGTATATTATAATGTAAAAATAGCTAAGTAATTTTAAACTTTGCAACTTTATATATTTTCTACCATCGTAATTATTTCTTTATAATGATAGAGATATACATCTCAATTTTGTGGCTAGATATGTAACATTATGATTTTAAATTTTGAAATTGTGATGCTCTTTCTCATCTTTTGTTGTTTCTGACAAGAACATAAGGTAAAGCCATACTTTAGCTGACTATTTTCACATTTATTTTTTATTGACAACTAACTGTATTGAGAGTCTCAATGGCTAAGAATGGCTAAAGTTGTATACCTCCTATGTGAGGTTTATGGTTTTACCTAAGTACTTGCATATCAAACATTTCTGTAGTGGTATCTTTGTTCCTTCCCCTTCAGATAAATGGTCAAAATGCAATAAGCAAGTGGGAGTGTCAGTCAATGTGCCTTAAAATATTACCTCTAAATATAGTTAAATAATTAAAAGAGCATGAAGAACAGTATAAAGTTGTATTACTATATATATTTTCATTATGTATATTCAGATGGGTGCTAAACAAGAATTACCTAAGAAGTTACGATTATTGGTAGATGTATCAGGTAGTATGTACAGATTTAACGGACATGATGGTAGACTAGAGAGAGAGATGGAAACAGTGATTATGTCAATGGAGGCTCTAGAAGGATATGAGGACAAAATAAAGGTTTACAACAGTTATCTCTGTGTTTATGAGAAATTGATAATCATAAATATGCTTTTTATGCTCCCTGTAGGGAGAGCATATAATTTCAGGGAGCATATAGTTGCCACCTTGTTTGTTTGTCTGTTCCCAATTTGTCCATCTATCTGACCATTTTTTGTCTAGTGCATAACTTGAAACCCCTTGGATATAATTTGTTTAAACTACACACAGTGGTAGAGGGCATTGAGGCGGAGTCCAGTGCCAAAGAACCATAACTCTTTTTGCCCTGTTTTTGAATTATCTCTCCTTTTAGAAAAAATCTTGTCCGGCACATAACCTGAAAACGCTGAAAATAACTATTAGATTTAACTTTTTATTTACTGATCATTTTTGTGGATGTGGATAAGGATTAATTTTGCAAAAATAAATTTCATTGATAGAACTCGACCTGATTTGCTTCCTGTAAAATATGATGTTTGATATACAGGTTAAAGTTGTAATTTTAGGAATGAGTATATGACGATGTTCCCCTTTATTTTACAGTTTGATATAGTGGGCCATTCTGGAGAAGATCATAAAGTAGAGCTCACTAGTTTTGATAAACCACCAAAAAATAACAAAGAAAGATTAAAGGTTGTCAAGGTAATAAAAACAATTTGTGAAAATATTTTCAGATAGTAAACTTAATATTTAGAAATAAGTTTGATTTGTGTCATTAAAAAGATTTGTAATCTGCAGTAACTTTTGTTGAAGACCTTGTTTTATAATACAGGCAGTTTGCTGAATGGCATTGGTAATAATGACGGCAGGGTTCTCAATAAATTAATTCATCAGCTGTCAAAAAGCAAATTCCAGCAGGCCTTTTGTGTAATTCAAACAACAATTTTTTGCATAAAAGTAAGAAAGCTGTATCTTATAAAGTTTCAACAGGCCAAATCATGATTACAGCCAGTCATTTTGGCCGGTTACCTGCTGTTATTGAGAACCCTGATGACGACAAGAAAAGCATTCTCAAAGTGGTTAATACTGTTGAAAGTCATTTAATCCTTACAACACTAATAATTAATTCTTGCAAAAATTTGAAATACATTCAAGTGACATTTTTTATGTCTATATTGTCCAGAAGGAAATATATTGAAATGTGGTTCATGTTTGATTATGACTTACTGGTTATTATTTATTTTGATATAATCAGACAATGCACGCTCACTCTCAGTTCTGTATGAGTGGAGACACAACTCTAGAAGCTACACGTCATGCTGTCAATACGTTAGCAAGAGAAGAAGCTGATGAAAGGTTCCTCATTATTCTAAGTGATGCTAACTTTGATCGATACGGTATCTCACCAGCAAGGTTTGGTCAGATTCTACGTAGTGATGAGAAAGTGAATGCGTATGCTATATTTATAGGATCACTGGGTGATCAAGCTGTCAGGTAATAGTGTTTTAATTAATGTTTATTTTGATGTGCTGAAATATGACCCCGACCCCTAAATTCACTAGACACTGCTACATTATTGCAAATTCAGTTGTATAGAAACAATAAAAAAATCTTTTTCTCTTCCAACTATTTAGTGTTGTACTAATGCTGTGGCTTAGATTTTTTTTACAAATGCAATCTTGTTTTACACTACTATTGAACCTTTTCCATGTTTTATATCTTCATATCATTGAGTCCAGCACTTTTAACTGTTGAAATTTGAGTACCGCTCAAGCTTGTGGTAGGAGTTGTGAGGAATTTTGTACCATTTCATTATCCCCCATGTACTGACTCAATCAAACCAAGTCTGCAATTTTCATGTAATTTTGCTGTTTTTGATGCTTCCGAGGGATCACTTTTTTTTTCAAATATTCATAGTTTTATAATTTGGCTTTAAATGATGTTCATTATTGGATAGATTTACTCACTGAATAATGTTTTGTGAAGCATCTTTGCAGGGTATGTACATGTACATCTATCTTTCAGTAATTTTACTTGAATAAAAGACAATAGCACACAATAGTTAGGTAGTTAATAAAGTCTTGATTATGTTTTGTTTTTCAGGTTACATAAACAGCTACCAATGGGTCACGCATTTATCTGTCTGGATACGAAAAACCTGCCTCAAATATTGCAACAGATCTTCACTTCTACTATGCTCTCAAAATAATACTATGGTTTTAGTATTGAAAGGAAAATAACAAAAGATAGAAACACATGTTAGAAGAGAAGGAGAAATTACATTGAATATGCAAATTAAAGTTTATCTTGTCTCATGCCAGAATCATGAGAGGGAAATAAATTATCAAGGTGTATTTATAAAAGATATTTGTTGTTGTAAAATGTGGATGATCATGAAACATTTGTACTGTAGGGTGAAGTTAGCTCAAAACTGAAATAACTTATTACAGAACAAAATTAATTAAAGGTTGCTTTAAATGACAGCTTATAAGTGGAGGAAATAACTTTACAAATACATATACTAAATTAATGCCTTCAAATCATCAAATTGATAACTTGCAGAGTTTTATTTATTCCATCAAACAGAGATTCAAAGAAATATTTATATTTTTTAATTTGAACTTTATACACATAAAATTTTATTGAATACATAGGAATGATAGGATTTTAATAATTTTGAAGTAAACAAGTGAATGGAGCCAAAAAAATAATAGAATAACAACAAACATTTCACATGATCATGTAGAAATTATCACATATGTTTTGTATATCCTGTTTTTGAAACTGTCCTAAGTAAAACAAAATGTGAGAGAAAAACAATTATTTTGATTTTTTTTTTGTTATCAAATTTCAATATGTTTGATATTTATCAATTTTAAAGGTCATTGTTTCGAACTGACTTGTGTTATTGAAAATATTTTCTTTTAGGAAAGTAAGAAAACAGGGGTTTTGCAATGAAATATATTTTAATATGATTTTTTACCCACTGTACACTTTCATGTGAATTGTATACCTATATGTCTATATGGATAGTGTATACATGTAGTGATTATACAGAATAACTACTTAGAGCATGGAAACATTTGTGATAAATTGTGATTATTTTGATAAAACAAAAAATAAACTGTTAAATATACATGTTGATGTAAACAGTCTCCTGTTGCAATTCCTGTTGTACCTTATATTGGAACATATTTCTGCAGACAACTATGACTTGGTTTAGCTTAGTTTATTTATTTTATCATTGCATATTACATGCATGCATGTGATTAAAACTACAAAGAATATATAAAAGATAAACAAAAACATAATGAAGGGTTCATAGCACACTTATCGAACAGTGTGAAACATATAATTATACAGATTCCCTGAAGAAAACAAATAAAACTCCAAAACAGTTATTATTTAATACAATAAAGATTTCTTTCCATTTCAATCAAACGGGATTTTGGGAAATTTTCAAAAGGGTTTTTCTCGATTTTGTTGAAAACCATTTTAAATAAATCTCATAATATTTCCCCCAGCCCCCAAATAAAAAAAAAGAAATTTAAAAATTTTAAAAAAATAAACCCTTTTATCTTGGGGAAAACCCTGCATAATATTTTAAATAGAAACCTTTCTAGCTTTTATTGAAGTTAAAATTTTTTAAAAAAAAAACGGGCCCCTTTGGGGCCAATTTTAAACCGAAAGTTTTAAAATACTTTTGACGGGTGCCCGGGTAATTTTAGTTGGGTTTTTAAAAGTGTAATTTTTTTTTTTTAACTTAAAAGGGGCTAAGAAAAGAGTTTCCCTTTTAACGTAATTTCCCTTTTAACCGTTTGTGTAACCGTATATTTTTATTTGAAAAAAGAAAGGCAAAATTCGGGCAAAAATAAATTGTTCCTTATATCCGGAATTTCGCTACAACCGTGTTCGCTACAAGTGAAGTTTACTGTACTTTGTAATAAAACTTACTAAATAAAGTAAGTTTATTTTTATTTTTACAAGTCCCTTTAATCTATGAGAGCTTGGTTAGCATAGTATCTTTAAATATATCTCTTTCTATCATTAGAAAAATGTGTGCATTCAAAAAGATAATAAATTCGTCTCCAAGACTTTTTTTGTACATAAGTTACATATTCTACATGTTCAATCAGCACGTTCAATATTAAAATATCAGCCTTTTTCTTAACTTACACATATAAATAGCAAGATTTATATGCAATATATGAAGATATTCCTCCAAACTATGTTCAGTCTTATAAGTTATATACACTAAACATTTTGCAGAATTAAACACTGGACTATTCAAATTCTGTACAAACTGATCATATATTCTGTTCTTAACTAATAATTTGAAATTATCCAGATTGTCAACTTTTTGGGTAATAAAGTATTCAGACATACCTAGTTCATCTAAACAGTTTTTAACAAATGCCATCCAAGGAGAATAAACTTTATTATTAATATGTAATTTATTGGAGTAAGTTGATAAACTATTACATAACAATCTAGCTTTAGCATGTGTTGAAAATACGCCTTTAGACAAAGATAGGTTGACCAGTTTGGTAATGGTTGGCAGAAGCACATCAAGATGAGTGATATGTGTGGGTAATAAGTCTAGCTCACACGATTTGGTATTTAGTTCACTTATAAGGCACTTCACCCGTGTTTCAGTAAGATCCTCGAAATTTTCTAAAGGTTGAACTTGTTTGACATTTGAAATGAAGCTTGGAAAATCCTGAAGTGATTTACGAATTTTAGCTATTTTGTCCATGAAAAAGTCTACAAACTTCTCAGCTAGCTCACCGTCATTTGTAAACTGAGGCATAGGATTTGCCGCTTAAGTGCCAGTTAATTCCGAAATTATACCATAGAGTTGTTTTGGATCACCTTTGGCATTTAGAATTTTCTCACTTATGACTAGTTTTTTCTTAGAATCAATTCTTTTACAGTATCTATTTCATGTTTCTTTAACTTTCATAACAATAATAATATTACACTATCATACCTCTACAGTAATATAAAAGGGTAGCAACTCCTTCGCCCTTTCAAGTGCTTTGATTCTACCCGAGTTTACATTCAATGTCATTACTCAGCCAAATCTTTATATATTTTAAAAAACTTGGTCTCGATCAATGGAGTATAGATATATGTATGCAACGACATCTTCCATATTGAGCAGTGTAAAGTATTTTGTTATATACGTTTAAATTCTGAAAATGATTTTGAGCAAATGAATCATGCACGGAACCATTGCTAAACATTTTAAAGCCAAATTGAAAAAGTGGCATAATATTTTGGTCCGGAACATTTTATTCTGTTTACGAACGATTTCCTTGTGTGTTTAATAATAGAAACATTCTATGTTACAAAACATTCGATAATTGACCCCATAACGGAAAACAAAATAAGTTTAATGTTAACATATTTTATTAGATACAGCTTAACACCCTTTGTTTAGCTTATGGTTTTCATTTATCAATTGCCACGATATGAATTTTCATGTAACTCCACTTATTATGAGTTTTCTTTGTTATTTTATACGTAACCTAAACATTCTTTAAAAAGAGTTCCTTTGAATGAAATTGACATAGCTTTAAGCAAAGAAGAACAAGAGCCGATTTAACCGGGCGATGCTTCCCGTATAGGTTTTGTTTTAGAGTTATTTCCCGAACAATGTTCAAAGTGCAATAATTCCAAAATTAGGCAAGGCAGAGTTACTGTTCTTTGTACTGCACCTCTACTCAATGATATCTATCTACCGACTAAGCATCTTGTTTATACCTCTTTTTTATAGTAATGTCCAGGACAAAATTCACAATGTAAAATTAAAAAGGGCAATAACTCCAAAAATAGGCAAGGTAGAGTTACGGTTCTTTTGCACTGCATATTAAGCATTGAGATATATCTACCTACAACGTTTCATATTGATATCTCTTTTAGTATCAGAGTTATGTCCTGGAAAATGTTTAAAGTGTAAAAATGAACAGAGGCGAATAACTTCAAAATATATCAAGGCAGAGTTACGGTTCTTTTACATTGCACTTCTAATAAATGAGATCTATCTACCTACAAATTTTCTTGATGATACCTCTTATGTAAAGAAAATGAAGCTCCAAAATAAGGCAAAGGAGAGTTATGGTTCTTTTGCACTGCACTTTTACCCAATAAAATCTACAAAGTTCTACAAATCTACAATTCAGAGTAATGTTATGGAAATATTTCAAAGTGTTAAAAAAAAACACAAAGGACAATAACACTAAAAAATTAAGCAAGGCACAGTTACGGTTCTTGTACACTGCAATTTTACCTAATAAGATCTATCTACCTATAAAGTTTCTTGTTGATACCTCTTATGGTTTCAGAATTATGTCCCGGACAAAGTTCAAAGTATAAAAATAAACAATGGGCGATAACTCCAAAATAAGGCAAGGCAGAGTTATGGTTTTTGTGCACATAGACGCTTAGGGTCAGATCCTACACCTAACGTGATACGCCCCTGTTAACACTCTTTTTAAAATACTTAAATATTTAAACACGAAGGGGACATCTGTTACAACGATAAAAACAGGTTTTCAAACAAATTTTACCATTTATACCATCAAGTCTTAATAAAGTACAAAATAAGGCAAGGCAGAGTTATGGTTTTTTTGAAATGTACTTCTACGCTATGAGATTTATCTACCTACAAAGTTTCATGATGATGTCTCTTATAGTTTAAGAGTTATGTCCAGGAAAATGTTCAGAGTATAAAAGAGAACAAAGGACAATAACTCCAAATTAGGCAAGGTAGAGTTACGGTACTTGTGCATTGCAATTTTACCCAAAGTGTTCTATCTACCTACAAAATTACATATATTGATATCTCTTATAGTTTAAAGTTTCAGAGTTATGTCCCGGACAATGTTAAAAAAGTAAAAATGAACAAAGGGCAATAACTCCAGAATTAGGAAAGGCAGAGTTATGGTTCTTGTGCATACAGTAAGTACTTTATTGAGACTTGATGGTAATCAGTGTATTTTCATATATGTAAATATTGTTGGAAAACAAGTTTTTTTCGTTGTAACAGGTATCCCATTCGTGTTTAAATATTAAAATGATTTTGATAGTGTGACAGTGGCCTATCACGTTGGGGGGGGGGGGAATCTAAACCCCAAGCGTCTGTGCTTGTGCACAACACTTTTACGCAATGAGATATATCTACCTACAGAGTTTCATTTTGATACCTCTTGTTAATACAT